GGGATGATAAAGGCACCTGGAAAGACAGAACCACAAAACAGATCTCAACTGCTGGCCAGTTTCACACTGGGGGAGGGCGGTGGCATGGTACAGCCCGATCTCATCAGATCTCGGAAGCTAAGCAGGGATGGTGCTTGGTTGGGAGACCACCAAGGAAGACTCTGCAGGGGAAGGCAATGGCGAACCACCTCTGCTTCTCACTTGCCTTGAAAGCCCCTTGCTGGGATCAGTTCTTGGATGGGAGACCACCAAAGAAGACTCTGCAGAGGAAGGCCATGGCGAACCACCTCTGCTTCTCACTTGCCTTGAAAGCCCCTTCCTGGGATCAGTTCTTGGATGGGAGACCACCAAAGAAGACTCTGCAGGGGAAGGCCATGGCGAACCACCTCTGCTTCTCACTGGCCTTGAAAGCCCCTTGCAGGGATCAGTTCTTGGATGGGAGACCACCAAGGAAGGCTCTGCAGAGGAAAGCAATGGCCAACCACCTCTGCTTCTCACTGGCCTTGAAAGCCCCTTGCTGGGGTTGGCACTTGGATAGGAGACCACCAAGGAAGGCTCTGCAGAGGAAGGCAATGGCAAACCACCTCTGCTTCTCACTTGCCTTGAAAGCCCCTTCCTGGTGTTGCCATAAAGTCGGCTGTGACTTGACAGTGTTTTACACATACACAGTTTCATGCTGGACTCTTCTGTTGTTCCTCTGTTTTTGGAGGCGGATTTGGCCACCAGATATAGCAAGTCTGACTCCTAACAGGATGAAGGACATGAACACATGGGGGAAACTGCAGACATGGGTGCAACGGTTCCAACTTCCATTACTGTGTTGGTATAAGCTGGCCAACATTGGAACAGTCTACTGGAAGCCCAGCAGCGGTGAAAAAGGCAAACCCTGTGCTAGGAATTATTAGGAAAGGAACTGAAAATGAAACAGTCAATACTGTAATGTCATTGCATAAAGCTATGGTGCAATCTCACTTGAAATACTATGTGCCGTTTGAGGTTCTGCATCTCAAAAAGGATATTGGAGAGCTTGAAAAGAAAATACTAAGGTGGGCAATCAAGTTGATGGGGGATCATTCCTATGAGAAAAGGCTGGAGAGCCTGGGACGTTTCGATCTAGAAAAAAAGAAATCTAAAGAGAGAAATGAAAGATGCTTATATAATTATGCACAGGATGGAAAAAGTAGATAGACCAATTGAGGTAGTGATGACCAGGGGTCATTTCCTGCAGGAGCGCACAGGAGCGGAGCTCCGGCAGTCAAGAGCCCAGGGGGTGGGCACACACAACAAGCCCCACCCCCTGCTCCTAGCAGCCCTCAGTCAGAGCAAGAAGCAGCCAGGTAAGTTGCAGAGGCCCCCCGGCCCCAAACAGTCCAGTGGCACCTTCAAGACCAAGTTTTATTCAGGTACAAGCTCTCCCTCCTCTGCAAGGACAGATCTGCACGTCCCTCCCCCCCAATAGCTAGCAATCCAAAACAGCCCAGTGGAGCCTGAGCGGTGGGTGTTGCCTTCTGACACACTTCCGGTGATGTCAGGGGGTGTGGCATATGCAAACGAGTTATGCTAATGAGCTCCTGCACCTCTTTTTCTACGAAATGACCCCTGGTGATGGCCAAAAACTCAGATAATTTTAAAAGGTGGCTGGACAGATTCACGGAGGAGTGGCCCATCAATGTCTAGTCATAGCCATGGTGGAGCCTCCATCTTCAGAGACAGCAAACCTCTGCCGGGAGGCAGCACCAACGGAGGGTCTTGGCCTCCAGGCTTTGTTTGCTTGTTTGGGGTACCTGGTTGGCCGCTGTGTGAAACAGGATGCTGGACTAGAGAGTTCCACTGGCCTGATCCAGCAGGGCTCTTCTTGTGTTCTAATAATGAGTTGCTGGACGGTGGTCTTAGGCTGAAAGGAAGCCAGCTGCTGAAAATGAAAATTATGGTCCCAACACCACCTCTTTGTACTCCCCCCAAAACAGAATGAACCTTATTGTCTAGGCCAGGGATCATTTCATAGAAAAAGAGGTGCAGGAGCTCATTAGCATAACTTATTAGTATAACTTATTTACATGTGCCACACCCCCTGACATCACCGGAAGTGTGTCAGAAGGCAACACCCACCGCTCAGGCTCCACTGGACTGTTTTGGATTGCTAGCTAGTGAGGGGGGGGAGAGAGAACGTGCAGATCTGTCCTCGCAGAGGAGGGAGAGCTTGTACCGGAATAAAACTTGGTCTTAAAGGTGCCACTGGACTGTTTTGGGCCGTGGGTGGGAGGGCTGCTGGGAGCAGGGGGCGGGGCTTGTTGCATGTGCCCACCCCCTGAGCTCCGCTCCTGTGCGCTCCTGCAGGAAACGTCCCCTGGCCTAGGTAAACGTATAGGTTTCCCCCACCTGTCTGTCCATGTGGAGGGTTCTGGATGGTCGAACTGTGCTTGTACTAATCTGTGTGGGCCTGTTGGTGGGGTAGATTTATACATCTAGATGGCAGTGACAGTATCAACACTTGACAGAGTACATTCATTTCCATGCCGCCCGCCTCCCCAGGAAAACAAATGCATTCTCCCTTCAGGACGGAGCTCATTTAAATATCAAAGTGGAAGGAGACTGAATGGGGAATGTTCAGGATCAAAGGAAAGAGACCTGGGCAGATGGCATGTATCCGTTTGGGGGACTTCACAGAAGCGGCAATACACCCAACCCACACCCTCACAACCCCCCCCATCCAAGATAGGGTTGCCAGCCTCCAGGTGTGGTCTGGAGATCGCTCAGTATTACAACTGATCTCCAGATAATAGAGATCAGTTTCCCCGGAGAAAATGGCTGCTTTATAGGGTGGGCTCTCTGGCATTGCCCCCCACTGAGGTCCCTGCCCCCCCCCCGGCTCCATCCCCAAACCTCCAGGTATTTCCCAACACAGAGCTGGCAACCCTAATCCAAGATGAACTAACTGTAAGATGTATAGCTATATATCTATATCACAAAAAGTGGTAATCAGTCTACAATACTGACAGGCCCACACAATTTCTGGCCACTTTACCTGCCTAAGCATCTCTATCCCTGTTCACACATTTACAGTGCACCTGCATGTATGTGTGTGTAAAGGTCTCCCTTGCTCGAAAGCCAGTCGAATCCGACTCTAGGGTTGCGGTGCTCATCTCCGTTTCAAAGCCGAAGAGCCAGCGCTGTCGGAAGATGTTTCCGTAGTCATGTGGCCGGCATGACTAAACACCGAGGCGCACGGAACGCTGTTACCTTCCCACCGAAGTGGTACCTATTTATCTACTTGCAATTTCTTGCTTTCGAACTGCTAGGTTGGCAGGAGCTGGAACTAGAGACGGGAGCTCACTCTGTCATGCAGCAACTCGGGTCTCGAACTGCTGAACTACCGACCTTCCACAGCCTGCAGTTCAGCGTCTTAACCACTTGAGCACCTGTTTGTAATAAACAGCCACTACAGGTCCACTTTATGAAACCAGGACCACTACCTGGATATACATGGGGCTTCAATCACATATTCAATTGTATAGGAGGAGGGGGGGGAGGAAGAAGAAGAGGAGGAGGAGGAGGAGGAGGAGGAAGAGATTGGATTTATACCCCACCCTTCACTTGGAGTTTCAGAGAGGCTTACAGTCTCCTTTCTCTTCCCCTCCCCACAAGAGACAGGAGGAAGAGGAAGAGATTGGATTTATACCCCGCCCTTCACTTGGATTTTCAGAGAGGCTTACAGTCTCCTTTCTCTTCCCACCACTTGCTCACCAAGGGTTGCCATATCCCCCCTGGCTGGGAGCAGACAGGGTTACCAGATCCAGGTAAGGAAATTCAAAACTGTGAGCTAGCTCACACTAACTCAGCTTAGAGGGAACACTGTGTGAGGTGGGTGGGGCTGAGAGGACTCTTTCGAGGACTGCTCTTTCAAGAGCAGCTCTGAAAGAATTTGTAGCTGACCCAAAGTCACACGAGCAGCTGCATATGGAGGCATTGGGAATCAAACCCAGTTCTCCCAGATTAGAGTCCGTGTTCCTAAGCACTACACCAAACTGGAACTGAATGTAACATGAGAATTACTCAATACATGAATGTAACATGAGAATTACTCAAAAATCAAGTGTACACTTACTGTATGTGTGTGCTCTGTATCTTGTGAAAAGGACTACAGTCTTACTAATTCCACCACTTGCTCACCTAGGGTTGCCATATTCCCCCTAGTCACTGGCTGGGAGCAGATAGGGTTACCAGATCCAGGTAAGGAAATTCCTGGAGATTTGGGGATGGATCCTGGGAAGGACAGGGACCTCAGTGGGGTACCATACCATAGGGCCCACCCCCCAAACCACTCATTTTCTCAAGTGGAACTAATCCATCTAGTCTGGAGATGAGCTATAATTCCAGGAGATCCCCAGGCCCCACCTGGAGGTTGGCATTCCTCTGCATACCTACCAAAAAGAGAGAACCAGAATTTGGAAAGCCTCCTTTCTTGTCTGATTTTTAGCTCACCATAAACCAAACGTTATTGACAAGGCCGGAAGAACTTTATTTACTTAAAATGCAAGCCTGCTTCTTGGAGCGGGACCCAGTTCTGTCCACATGCTAAAAGAATGGACACTAGACCCCATCAGTGAGTGGCTTCTTTAAAGAATAAAATGTCTACATTTGTCCAGCATGATTCATTCGTCAGTAATAGGCCAAACCACTGAAGCAGAAGACCTTTGTATAAACAACGGTACAGGATATTATTTAAAGACGGTCACAAAAGCAAACGAAAAGGTCGACAGAATGAGCTTGGAGAGGAGACCCCACTGTAAGGTATCAGATTCCCCACTCCTCCACTCGCAGCTGCTGGATGACCTGGGGCAAAGCCATAGTTCTGACAAGAGCTGTTCTCTCAAGGACAGTTCTGGAAAGAGCTCTCTCAGCCCTGCCTACCTCACAGGGTGTCTGTTGTGGGGAGAGGGAAGGGAAAGGAGATTGTAAACCGCTCTGAGACTGTGAGGAATT